AATTTTGCCTCAGGAATGAATAGACCTCAAGTCTCTTCCATATCTGATAGAGATGATATTCAGAGCAGATGTCTTTTTCTAGATTTTAGAGTCGATGCTAGACTAATTAAACTTTTAAATCTATTGAGATAGCATGAATGTACATGGCATGTGAGGACATGAGATTTGGAAGGCCAAGGTTGGAATGTTATGAACTGAACTGTTTACAATTTCTAAAACAATTTATTGTGAAAGCCTAATTCCCAGTGTGATAGTATTTGGAGATGGACATGCTGGGTGATTAGGTGACAAGAATTAAGTCTCAAGATGGGATCAATAACCTTATGAAAGAAACTAGGAGAGAATTTTCTCCCTTTTATACTGTTCTTTGCCATATGAAGATGCAATGAATAGAAAGTCATCTGAAACCCAGGAAGAATACTGAATGCCAACCATTCTGGGAAATGCTGTAGTAATGAACAAGTCTGAAGGATAATTAAGTAATTTGTTACTATAACAAACATACCGGGACACTGAATTTTGTAGATTTTTTACTTATTTCAGAGATATCATAGAAATTTTATTTTGAGAGTACTTTCATAGATGAAAAAAAGTTGGGCTACTTTTGGAATTATATTTTGAAAGATTTTGATGTTAAGAAAAGCCCAAAAATCTTCAGTACAAAGTTTGAATAATATGATCAATAGTATGATTAAGCTAATAGTAACGATATTTGAAATAAAAATAATTTACAAATCATAGAGTACAATTATTGAGCATAATTTATAATGTTGAATAATTCATGTGCTTTCTCTCATACTTATTTTTAAGGCTGGTATTTTGGTTTTGCCTTCCTTTTCTTCATATTAAGTAATCAGAAATAATAATGATTAAATTTTGCTCTTTATCCATGATGTTTCTTTCACTAAATAATCTTATCTCTTTTTAAGTTTGTTTGTTTGTTTATTGGTACTGAGGATTGAACTCAAGGACACTCAACTGCTAAGCCACACTCTCAGCCCTGTATTTTTATTTAGAAACAGGGTCTCACTCAGTTGCATAGGGCCTTGCTTTGGCTGAGGCTGGCTTTGAACTCAAGATCCTGCTGTCTCAGCATGCCAAGCCACTGGGATTATAGGCTAGCACCACCATGCCGGGCTTCTCTTTAAGTGTATACTTCAAATTCTCCATGTGCCATAACCACACACACACACACACACACACACACACACACATAAAATACGCAAAAAAATGTAAAACATTATGTTCCAACTTCATATCTGACAAAATGTCAATATAGCATCATATAATAAAACCAAGTTCATGACCTATAGAAAAAAAAAATATATATATAAAGATTCAGGCTTTTCTAACTCAAATGACTTTATTTATTAAAAGTCAACTTTTTATCAATGCAGTTAAAACTGTTAGCCATCATTATCTTTCCAATTTTTATATAAAACCAAATATTTAGTCTTATGTCTGATATAAACAGTGAATGAGCACAGGTTTGCAATGGTCTTAGAAGTAGATCTGATGTTATCAGTGCCTCTGATCTGACACAGATGCCATTAGTGAATTGTGTAATGTATGTAAGGTGAAATTTTTTCACAGCAGGGAAAAAAGGTAAAAATTTGAAATGAGCTAATGCAAGCTGGCCCAATTTTCCACTCTGTGGCACACATTGATGGCCCTCATAATTCATACCTAAGGGAAAGCACAAGTTAGGCAGGAGAGGTCTGAAACCAAATAAGCCCCACTGTATTAGTGAAAGTGCCGATTAAAGAACATGTTGCACTATCAACAAGAAATCATGAGTGCATCAGGGCATGGTTGAGAAGGAAAATAATTCAGTTTAAGAGGGCTAAAAATCCCCAGTTCCTAGTTAAAAGTAATTCAAGCACATAGCAAAATAAACAAATTCAACAATATTTGAGGTTTATGATCAAAGATAGTCTGAAGGGGAGAAATGACAATGGGATGATACACGAAAGCTTTGCTTTCAGAGCTTCTGAAAAAGAAAAAAATCTGTTTCAGAAAAGTATCACACAGGAGAGAAAAACAAAGCTTGCTCTTCAACCCTCACGGCTAAACTATTGCTTTGCATTGATTTTTATATATGTTACATTTTTCTAAGAATGTCACATTATCTTTAATTTTTATCTTTTTTTTGTTTGGGTCATATATGCAGCAAAGTTCAATTTAGTTTTATTGACAGTGTGTATGCCCACATGTTATTTAGGAATTTATTAATATTTCACCAATGGACAACAAATCAGTAGAGATTAAAAAAAAATATTCTGTCTTCCTCTTGATAATGGAACCTCTCCCAAACTTCCCCATATAAAAATAGATACTGATTTCTTTTTCAAAAATTGTCTATTTAAAAATAATTCTAGTGAATATACATTAACATTCTAAACACGTTGCAAATGAATATATCGATTAATTTTTATTAATGTAATTATCATGGATCACCATGTCCTTTTTTGGACATGAAAAATAAAATAGGGCAATTATAAATAATCCTGAGAAATTATAAGAAAAAGGCTAAAGCCATTACACACACAACACAGGTAAAACCTCACATTTTAGTCTCAAAAATACAAAATAAAATAAAAATTATTGGATTTTGCCCAAAGCTCCTTTATTAGTGTTTCACATGGACTAAATGACAAAAAAAAAAAAAAAAAAAAAAATAGGCAGTCTCACTTCTACTTCTTCAATCCTCTCTCTGTCCCTTTCATTATGAAGGCTGTGGAATCTGAATTTGTCCCCAATACTGTAATTTTATAGATGCCAAAAACACCAGGTGTGAGAAGATAGCAAAGATGAAGTGCAATTTCAAAATTTAGTGAATTTCTGATTAAGAAACAATGAGTTTCTAAATAAAGAATGAATTGAACCTCTTAATAAACAGTATGTTCCTAAGTGGCTTCTGGATTCAAGAGGATAGTGACAAGATAGGTATTTGATGTGGACAGAAAAACCAGAGTTTTGTCATTTGAAAAATATGTGATTTCTGGATAAATTTCTTAAACTCAATGATTCTGGGGAAAAAAACATGAAAATTGATGAATCATTCATATGTCCCAAGCATAAAGCTTCTATTAAAGAAGGAGTTCTTATTATTACATCTGACATAAAATTATCTTGCAACTTGACATTATCTTTGGCCCAACATAAACATTATGATGAAAGTTTAATTCTGAACTCTGAGTTCATTAGATTGAATATACTAGGTTTATACAAACAAAACAATAAATAGCATTTTCAAAACAGGGTTCATAAATCTGATTATTTTCTTTTTATATGCATTTTTCAGTACTTGCACTATCACATTTTTATTTGTCTGAGTATCAATTATTCACATGAAATACAGTAGAAATTAATAAAACAATATGCAATTTAAATATGTTCTAAGCCCAGGTTATTCTGAGTATTTTTTAAATAAATTATAGATGTTAGTTTATTTTGTTATTTTAAATTACTACTAGGATAAAGTGGAAGAAAAATATTTTGAATGTTAATCATATTGACCATAATTTGTTTATGATTTTATTAATGTGATAACAATATTATCATCATGACAGTCCAAGTAGTGCCTGCCTGTAATCCCAGCAGTTTAGGAGGCTGAGGCAGGAGGATCACAGTTTAAAACCAGCATCAGCAATTTTTTGAGACACTAAACAACCCAGAAGAATCTTGTTCCTAAATAAAATATAAAGAAGGGATAGGGATGAGGCTCAGTGGTTAAGCATCCCTGGGTTCAATCTCTGGTTCCCCACCCCAACAAAAAAAATCAAAAATATTCTTGCCTCATCCTGCTTTTTTATAATAATGTTTATTGATCAATATAATTTAAAACAGAAAAGAAATATTTTTCTGTTGTCCCCAAAATTCAGAGAAACATATTAAGAAAAAATTCTTGGTATATTTTTAATATCTTTTACATTTCTCACATATCATATATTTATGATTATATAACTGAGTTGGACTAATAAAATATTCTGTTTGAAGTAGGATATAACAAAGTAATCCCATATTGTATTTCTGGGAATCATTGTTTATTATACTATTTTTTAATCATTGTTTATTATACTAAAATATTAATATTTTAATAAATATATTCTGTTAATGTATTTTTCCAGTTAATGAAGAGTGTGACATATATTATAGTCCTAACAATGCACTATAAAGACTGTAAAAATTAGGAATATGATTAGTGTATCATTATTTTTTGATATTTTGTAATAACACTGGCAAGACAAATCTTGGGGTTTCTCTGTATTTTAGGCCAATTTGATGACTTCAACCAGGGATGTAAATAATTTAATAGAAGACCTGTCACATTTGTATGCTCAATAAATATCATTTCCCTTTTGGTCTCTGTCCTATGCTGACTTGCTTTGACTTTTTAGACCCTCTTTTTCTATAGATATACCTTTTATCTTAAGTTTAGAAATTATGTTCATAGCACATATATTCCAAATCCTCCTCTAATTGAGTAATCATCTTATTTGGGTTATTACTTCTCAATTATTTATCCTAGCCCTATGTGTTTCATGTAGAATTTAAACTTTTTTTAATAGTGTATATTTTTTTCAAGAATTTATTTAGCAGATTGAAATGTTTTCATTTGCCCCATTTTGGATTGCTTTGTTGTCCAGAGAACCTAAAGTCAAACTACAACACTATAAAATCAATACTGTTTATTACCTATTTGCTTAATAGATGAAATTTGTCTGTAATATTTACTTTTTAGACCATGATAAATTCAGTCATGTCATTTGTAATATTGATGTTAGCCAGTCATTTCAGTTCAAACTAAATCTTGAGAAAAAGAAAAACAAACATGTTATTTCAAATTACTTGCATTTTTGTAAGACAATTCAGCATAATTCTTGGACTCTAATGATGGATTGAAATCAGATGGATATTTAAGAACTTTTGGATTAATTCAGCCATGCAAATTTACAAAGGCCAAAAGTTTCATAATTTAAGTTATTTAAAGAATTTTAGTGCTTGCTTTGGGAGCACATATACTAAAATTAGAATGATACACAGAAGATTAGCATGGCCTCTGTGCAAGGATGACACAAAAATTCATGAACTGTTCCATATTTTTACATATCAAAAACAACATGCACCACGATAAAGTGGGATTCATCCCAGGGATATAAGGTTGGTTCAACATATGGAAATCAATAAATGTAATTCATCACATCAATAAACTCAAAGATAAGAATCATATGATCATCTCAATAGATGCAGAAAAAGCATTTGACAAAATACAGCACACCTTCATGTTCAAAACACTAGAAAAACTATAGATAACAGGAACATATATCAACATCATATAGGCTATCTATGATAAGCCCCTGGCCAACCTCATTCTAAATGGAGAAAAATTGAAGGCATTCCCTCTAAAAACTGGAACAAGACAGGGATGCCCTCTTTCACCACTTCTATTTAACATAGTTCTTGAAACACTGGCCAGAGCAATTAGACAGACAAAATAAATTAAAGGGATACAGATAGGAAAAGAAGAACTCAAATTGGCACTATTTGCTGATGAAATGATTCTATAAATAGAAAAACCTAAAAGTTCCACCAGAAAACTTCTAGAACTATTAAATGAATTCAACAAAGTATCATGATATAAAAATCAACACTCAGGAATCAATGCATTTCTGTATATCAGTGATAAATCCTCTGAAGGGAAAAAAAACTACCTCATTTACAATATCCCCCCCCAAAAAAAATTGGGAATCAACTTAATGAAAGAGGTGAAAGATCTATATAATGAAAATTACATAACCCTAAAGAAAGAAGTTAAAGAAGACCTTAGAAGATGGAAAGATCTACCTTGCTCTTGGATAGGCAGAATTAATATTATCAAAATGACCATACTACCAAAAGCACTATACAGATTTAATGCAATTCCCATCAAAATCCCAATGACATACCTCATAGAAATAGAAAAGCAAAGAAATTCATCTGGAAAAATAAGAGACCCAGAATAGCTAAAGCAATCCTTAGCAGGAAGAGTGAAGCAGGTGGCATCACAACACTAGACATTAAACTACACTAAAGAGCAATAGTAACCAAAACAGCATGCTATTGCACCAAAACAGACTGGTAGATCAATCATACAGAATATAGGACACAGAGACTAACCCACAAATAACAATTATCTTATATTAGACAAAGGCTCCAAAAACATGCATTGGAGAAAGCATCTTCAACAAATGGTGCTGGGAAAACTGGAAATCCATATGAAACAAAATGAAATTAAACTCCTATCTCTCTCATGGTGCACAAAACTTAACTCAAAATGGATCAAGAACCTAGGAATAAACCCAGAGACTCTTCATCTAATAGAAGAAAAGGTAGACCCTAATCTTCATCATGTGGGATTAGGCCCCAACTTCCTTAATAAGACTCCTTTGGCACAAGAATTAAAACTAAGAATCAATAAATGGGATGGACTCAAACTAAAAATTTTCTTCTCAGCAAATGCTGAGAGCCATAGCCAAGTAGGAATGAGGCAAGGCATTTTTGGGTTGGAAGGTGACCCTGCTCAGGGATTAGGGTGGCTCGGGGCTTAGGGTGGATCCTGCTGGATCCTGCTGCCTTGGGTGCCCGCTCCTTGAGTTCTCTGATATAAGGAGGCTGATTCATAATGGGGCAGGGAGGGGGAGTGTGGGAGGAGGAGACAAACTCTAGATAGGGCAGAGGTGGGAAGGGAAGGGAAGGGAGGGGCCATATGGTTAGAAATGATGATAGAACATAATGGACATTATTATCCAAAGTACATGTATGAAGACACAAATTGGAGTAATTGTACTTTGTATACACCAGAGTAATGAAAAATTGTGCTCTATATGTGTACTAAGAATTGTAATGCATTCTGCTGTCATATATAAATAAAAAAATTAATGAAAAAAATAATAAAAAAGGTTGTATAATATGAAGAGCTAAAACTTAAAATGAAAAAGATGAGGAAAAAAGTTAGTGTCAGTACTGCCAATAGACCTTCAGTACAGACTCCTGTCCATGCCAGACCTGTGACAGACACAGGTGTCTGTGACAGACACTTTCCACTGTGCCTTGAGAGTATCATTTCTCTTAAGAAATGTATTTGAGAAGATTTTGGTCTTTTTATTTTGTAAATAGAAGACAAATAAGTGTAAGAACTCAGAGCCTGAGTTATACAACAGCTTCTGTTTGTAATAAAAACTAAAAATACTTACAACAAAATAAAAAAAAATGTAAAACATAAAAACAAGATCTTAAGACTTGCAGACTTGGGGCTGGGGTTGTGACTCAGCAGTAGAGTGCTCACCTAGCAGGTGCGAGGCCCTGGGTTCGATCCTCAGCACCACATAAAAATAAATAAATAAATAGATAGATAGATAGATAGATAAATAAAAGTGTTGTGTCCAACTACAACTGAAAAATAAATTTAAAAAAAGAATTGCAGACTTTAATCTTTTAACTGATTATAAAGCCTTATTAATATCAGATTATAACTTAAATTTTATATTTATATTTATATTTATATTTATATTTATTGACTGGAACATAACAAACGTTTTGTCAAATTAATGCTATGAGAGTACTGATTATTTCTCTTTATGTATTTGCAGATTTTACTTTGCATGTGTTTCTTAACTAAGATATCTGAGATAATTAACTCACATGGACTAATGTATTAATTTTTCAAAATCAGTTGAGACACAATTAAAACAGTGTCTTGACTCTGTTTCCCATGACCTTCAAAATTGTAACCACCTTTTTTGGTAAAGCGTAAGATCCCCTTCTATGATGAATATTTGCCTGAAATATTCAACATATGTAATCATTTTTTTCTAAATCTATAAAGCATGTATTTCTTGCATTACATGATTTGGTATTGTGTAAACTTCATAATGTGCAATCAATATTCAAACACTTTATATTCATATTTTTATCTCTCTATCCCCCAAAATATTACATTCTTGCAGGTCAAAGAATGTGACTTGCACTTTACTTTTATGTGCCCAGATATTAATATAAATCTGTAAGTAAGACAGACACTATTTGGGGAACTGGGCTTTGGTGTCAGAAATTTGAATTTATACTAACTGTTTGACCTTGGAGAATTCAATTGGTATTTCTGAACATTACTTTTTTATTGTACATAAGATTTTATGATATTAAATTCATAGAAATGTTATAATAAAATTAAACATGTATGGGAAATAGTATTGAAACCATGAAGTCTAGAGAAATTGTTTATTCTAACAAAAATTATGTTTAAACAGACTAAAGAGTTTTTATCTTTGGAATGACTTACTTAGGAGTGTGTACAAGGAACACTGAGAGACAGATATAATACACTTTGACAAATATCAATAAGTTCTATTGTTTTCCACATATACATTTTTAAGAAAAATCATCCATCCTGCAGCATCAGCACCTTTATTGGTTTCTCACAGAAATATGACTATTGACTATTTCTGCATTTCTCAAAAGCATGATACTATATGCAATCTGACATACATATGTTTCATTTTTCAGTTACACAATTCTAGCCTTTATTTCTAATAACCCAGATACCAAGTTATTCAGTGTGACTTTTTCTAATATTGCTAGCAAGTTGCAACTTATGTATTGCATTGTATGACAGATATAGATTTGACACACTAAAGATTGCTAGAGAAAAACAAACCTGGATATGAGTTCCAAGATATTCTGTTATTAAAGGAATTAAAAGAGAAAAGTGATAATATTTTCTTTCAGTAAGTAAGAAGGAAATTCCAGTTTTTATATCTATGCCCATAAAAACATAATATGCCCAATAGTAGGCTCAACTTGCTGATTTTAAAATGCAAAGCTGAAACCTTTCTGATCTTAAAACTGTAAACACTATAATACAGTAACTCCAAAATTTGTTCAGGAGTCTCTCAGAAGGATCTAGAAAATTATGGCAGGAGCAACTATTTATCTTTCATGGAGACAGCAGAAGTTTTGTTTCTCTTTCTATTTTACTGTATAAATGGATGTGAATTTCTGTACAGATTTAGTCTTCAGTGATTGCATGGTGTAATCTGACAGGCATACTAATAATTCCTTACATACCTCTTCTCTGTTATTGCAAAATTGTAGAAGTTAGACATGATTTTCTGTTTCCTTAATAAAACCATATTTCCACCACTTCTCTAAGAATTCAAAATTGTTTTAATCATCAAGAAAATTCATATTATGGTTCAGATGGAAGGGGAAAGTACAACAATCTGGAAGTAGAAAAAAACAGATAGAAACAAGTTGGTCCTACTCCTTGGTTCCAGGTTATTACACTTAAAATATCTTGCTTTAATGGCTTGAATGTGAGTTGTCCCCCAAAAGCTCAGGCTTGAGAAAAATCAAGAAGGTTCAGAGGAGAAATGATTGAGTTGTAAGAGTCTAAACTCAATCAATTAGTTAATCCTAATGATAGGGATTAACTGAGTGGTAACTGAAGTGGAAGGATGTGGTTGGAGGAGGTGGGAATTGGGTTGTGGTTTGGGGTATATATTGTTATCAGGAGAGTTGACTCTCTCTCTGTTTCCTGATCACCGTGATGTGAGCTGCTTCCCTCTGTCACACTCTCCCCTAAGATGTTCTGCCTTACCTGAAGCCTGTAGAAATGAAGCCAGACTTCTGCGAACTAAGACCTCTGAAACCATGAATCCTTAAATAAGCTTTCCTCCCCTACAATTGTTCTGGTGAGATCTTTTTGTCACAACAAAATAGCTGACTTAAATACTTGCTCATTTTAGGATGAATAACTTTAGAGAGGGAGAGTGTGTACTTGGATAGGCAGGTTTGATGTGGGGGCACGCTAAGTGTGAATAGAAAACAAAATCACACTGATATTGAAATTTTAATTGCTGGAGCTGAGAATCATCTCTCTAAGGTTTGGCCTCCCCTTTTGACACAGGAAAGTCTGTGAGACACTGGGATGCTATGTGAGAATGGGAGTCTTCAGTGGCAGACTGACTCCACCTCTTTCTACTGGGAGCTCTGTAATCAAGAAAGCACAGGGTCCAGTATCTCAGCTCTCTCAGTGTTTAGTTTTATAGTGTAAGGTGGCTTTTTCTG